GACGTGATGAGGAAGCAACTGTTACGTTCGTAATGTAACACAATCCCCTGCTTTCATCCCAAGATGAGCGAAACATACTGAATCTTTGGCTCTGGCGCCACCGAGACCCTGTGTGTCTGGTGGCGTGTAGCTGAGATGGAGAGTACCATGTAAAACCGCATTCTGGCCTGGCCTGAGGCGGCGGCCGATGAGTAGAGCGCCATGATGGATTCAGCTGCAGAGAAACGGTAACGCCTTCTATGCCACGAACAGCCTTGTCGGTGCCTATTATGGATGGGTATACGTCATACGGGCCAATTTATCCCCTTTTCGAGGCAACATACGGCAGGCGCAATACCAAGCTTTTCTGATGAGCTGTATAGCTGTTTTTATAAGTCTCTTATATAGCAACCTCCAAGATGTGTTGATGTAGGCTCAAATTTAGTTATAAATTCACGAGGGTTAGAGGTTGGAGACTAATCATTTCACTGCCCTTGCATCTGGATAACACATGAGAGATTCGGAAAACGAAAGTTTGCGAAATGATTGAAAATGAAAATTAGTTCCCTTGGGGGGGGGTTGGTAGTCTTTGGCCGGTGGCGCCAAACACAGCTAATAGTACACGCCAAGTTGGTTGTCGAGCGTGGTGCGAGTCAGATTGGTAGATGACCGCTCATGTTGTATATCCAACTCGGTACTCCCGGGAAGATGTTATTTCGAAAGCGAGATTTCTTTGAGCCGTGGAACGAGCTAATATGTATTGAAATTTAGTTAATCATGGTGTTTATATAAAAGATAGAGGTTTTGTTTGTGGCGTAGTAAGAGGCCTTTTGATACAAGACAGCCTAACCACATGGAATAACTCTACATGATTTTATTCTGCTTTAATACACTTAATATTAGGAGTATATTTATGATTTCTAGTAAAACGTGACACTTGAACTCCAGAACTGTTCACACTACTTACTAAGGCATTAACTCTAACCCCGCGTCGTTTGAGCTGATTCTGGGTTGGAGGCGTTTTAGAGTTCCGAATGCCAAAGGCAATACAAGCCAGCAAACGCTATTGTGGATGTTGGGACCAATAGGTATTAGATATTTTCCGGTTTTTTTTTCATTGGCCAATGGAAATAGAGAATAATGGGCTCGGTCTGGCTGCCGAAGGGTTGCCGCAGAAATACAGCTAGCTTAGCAACTCTTGATCCGTGTTAGTATTCATGTGTTGATGGCGTTAAGGATATAGGGTATCTCTATGGCGTTTCTTTGGAAGAGGTGTTGCTCAAAGTTTATGGCGATATGAGGATGGTAGAAAAGAAGGAGACAACCTTTCAGCACTCCATGTCGAGCAGCTGAGCAACACTGCAAAATTGCAATCATACCGACAGACTGGAAGGCACCCAACACAGTGGCATAAACTCAGTACAAATGGCACACACATAATGCCCAACTAACTGGCGTAATTATGTCCAACTATTGGGAGTAACTTGTTTGATGCCACGTATATATGTCATGGCCACCGCGACCAAACCGTTGGGTGCAGCGTCAAAACCTGGTCTATACCCAGCAGGTCGTCGACGCAATATCACTCTTCTTGACTTTACAGCCTAATACCCCGAGATAACTCCGAAAATTCTGGTCATGGAATCTCTGGCTGCGCATTTCATTGCGTTGACACGGACCATGATCTGTCCGCAACCATGGCTAGGGGGACGCAAGCAGTCACTACTAGCACTGCTATTTTTATCCGCTATTCATTGGGTTACTGCTCCAGACCAATTGAATGACTTTTGTCGCAGATATGGACATCAGACAGTGGTCATCGATGATAAGCTGTATATTGACGGCGGCTGGGTGAACTACCAGGGCTTTCAAAAAAATCACCAAAACTTTTCCAGTGCGTCAATCCCATAGATGTACAACGATGGTGTTGATGCCAATTAAACAGAATAACATGACACGGCTAACTCCGTATTAAAGACAAGTTGCTAGGATATCACGATCTTAATAAAATAGTGACTAATAAAACAGCAACTAGAACAGGGCAGGTGGGGTGGCCTAGTTTGAACATGAGTTTAAATAAGAACGACAGGCAAGTCAGCCCTTATGTTTTGTCTCATTTATACTTTATAAGAGGCGCGTCTGCAACTTAATGTCTTCCATGGAGTTGGCAGAAACAAGATACTGACTCTCAACCTGGCAGTATCCCAGCCGTGAATGGAGGGGTTCTATGGGGTGATAATGTCAATAAGATATTCTATCTATATGGCGGCGAATGGAATACGAAGTTTGCCATCGATCCTTACCATGTGTTTAGCTACGACATTCTATATGACAAGTGGTGGGACCTTGGCCCGCCCGACATCGATCCGACGCCAGAGATTGCTTCATATGGCGCTGGAGTCGGGGTATCTCAGACCGGTATGGGATACTACCTTGGAGGATGGATAAGTAATGCCTCCATGAGTGGATGGACTCAACCACGAACAATGACCTCAAATTTCTACGAGTACGATTACGAGGCGGGCAGATTTACCCTGAGCACTAGTCCAGGAGGCAACAAGACAAGAGCAGAAGGTGCCATGGTATGGATCCCGGCCGGCGATCCCAAGGGTCTGCTTGTATACATGGGAGGTGTTGTCAGTAATTCCAGCAACGGACCGGTGGAACCTCAGCCACTTGACAAGATCTTTGTGTTCGACGCCTCGGCCGACATGTGGTACACTCAGACAGCAACTGGCGAGATACCACAAAATAGACGCCAGTTTTGTATGGACGTGGCATGGGCACCTGATAAATCAAGTTTCAACGTGTAAGTCGTACCTAGTGTCCTCTTTAAGAATACAAAAGCAGCTGGCAGTACTAATAAATAAAAAGTTACCTCTATGGAGGCCTGAGTGTACCGCCCCCGGTCGTCAACACCACCGCATTTAATGATGTATACATCTTGACACTCCCATCATTCATCTGGGTTAAGGTGTTTCCTACTGGTCATAAGAATGACACGGACAAAAGAGGCCACTACAGTGCTTCCTGCAACATGGTCAAGTCAATGTCCCAGATGCTTGTAATCGGTGGTACCTACCCGGACGACAGCGAGTGCGATGGTGACGACGGCTCATGGGCGCAACACGGCTTTTGGACAGGGACGCTCCATAATGAAGGAGACAACGAAAAATACTGGGCGATATTCGAGCCAAATTACACCAACAATGTCGTGCCCAGCGATGTTTACCACACCATCGGTGGAAACAGGTACGGCAGCGCAACACAAACGAGCCCCAAAGGAGGATATGACCCTACCAACGCGGATCTCAAGAGCTTGATGGCATCGAGAGAACCGAAAGACACGCGTCAGGCAACTCGCCCTTTAACTTCCCCAACCATCACACCTACACCCACGCCCACGCCCACACCAACACCCGTCCCGAGCCAGGGTCTGTCTGGTGGTGCCATTGCCGGCATTGTTATTGGCAGTCTTGCAGGGGTAGCCCTTCTGCTGTTTGTGTGGTTCATTATAGGCAGGAGGGTCGTTCGCCGTCGAAAAGAACGGCGGCAATCTGTCATGACCCAGGACGCAAGATTGTACAGCGTGAGCAGTACGGCAGCGCCACCGAGCATGACCACATCCATGGAACCCTCTGGCTACGTGGTGTCTCGATGGTCCCGTCCAGGAAGTCCGCAAGAGCCATCTGAGCTTCCCTCCACGCAAGATGGCCGTCCGCGTGATGCAGTGGGCTCTGTAAGCGAGCTGCCGCCTAGGGGGGAGAATGGTGTAAAGCCTTGAATCACTCTTGCCGGGGGAGAAGGTTGATAATTAAACATTTAAGGATAAGCGAGATTGTATATTGGATAATCTGTGGCAAAGAATACATAACCTCGACTAATACTACCGTTGTATATGGAGAATAGTGGAACATGTCGTAGGAAGTTACAAGTACACTGTATACTTGTGATTATATCGAATATGCTCACTGTTGGGAAACTCTGTTTGTTGTAGCGTGATAATCAACAGCTTAACCCCTGAGCCTTTTCCGGAAAGTAACCTACCTTCACACATTATAGCTATATTAATCGCACCATGTCTGTAAACTTGATTCATTCTAGACGCTTCATGTAACTAGTCATCTTTGAAATCCTGGAAAAGACACATGGAGCTGATTTATACAGCAATATGCCCATGTCACCCGCCACCTCGACTGCGTCACTGTTACACGAAAAAGGCCCAACAATCGTGAAGCCCAACAAAGGGGCCTCACTGACAAAGGGCTTGTTGGTTACACAGATTAAACACGTGTCCGGGCAAGAGCTCTAGACACAGGCGTTCCCTTTATGTTCATATAATAGCTACTGTTCCCTTCCTTGCTCTTAGAAAACAAGGACCTTTGACACCCTTCAGGATTATCTTTTGAATCTAGGCCCTTTGCTTCAAGCCTTCTGTACTGAACCCTTGTCACAGTCACCGAATATCAGACATAAGGAACAACGTTTGTATTTATAGGCGCTTGGACATCATCCAAAAGGACGGCTTGTCCGTCGTTTACACGGAATCTCGCCGTTTGTTAACGGGGAGTATTGTTTCGCTCTGTAGATAAATGAATTTATAAACATAATACGAGTATCATATAAGCGTAAAATTTAATATAATATTAGGCTATACTAGGCTAAGAATAGTAAAAGACTAGAGAAATAGACCGTCTACGCATCGTAACGCGTCAGACGTACCGGTGCAATTGGTGCAGCGCCGCGGCCCGCTAGCCAAGGCCATCTCGCGATAGTCTCAGCCACCGTTTGTAAACCCATTTCCTGCCTCTTTTAATCTTCAAACACGGGACTGCATTACGTAAAGCACGCAGAGTTACACAGAGCCAGTCTCGGCCTGCACAGCCCACTATGAGCTGTGAATATCACCATGCACTGCGACGGAGAGCAACCCAAATTTCAAACAGCCCCTCAATCACGTCGCCAATCTTCCTTCTTCATCCATCCACCACTCCAAGGCGTTTAAATTGTATTTAATCACCATGAGTGCCAAAGTTAATCGTTCCGGCTCCTTGACGGCAGACGAGCACCAGCATCAGTCCGTTGGGGACTGGCGAGCAGTCACACCCTGTCGATTCTTCCTGACGGGATCGTGTACAAAGGGAACCTCGTGTCCCTTTTTGCATGATGTCAAATCATCGAATAATTCAGATGCGGACCCCCAAGAGGTACAGTAGCACACGACGAATCGTCAGAGCATCAGCTTACCGTAATGGATTGGACAGCCCAAACAGACCCGTATAAATAGCAGATTCACAGTCGACTCTGGAGATTCGAAGCCCATTTGCAAGTATTACAAGATCGGAGTTTGCAAATATGGAGCAAAGTGCATATATGTCCATGACGATGGACAGCTCCCCCAGAACGCGGCTGCTGAACCACCAGAGGTTAGCTAGCCTATTATCCAAAGCCAGGGAAAGCTCGAACTAAGAAACCTGAAGCAGGATGAAGATAAGAAAGACGACTTCACAAGAACCATCGGCGGTGCATTCGTCCAGTTCGACGCCGGTGCTCGCGTATCCAAGATCCGCCTGCCTGGTGACTTCTCTGCTGCTCGCATCAGCGGATTACGGCAAAATACGTCGAAAGAATCGGTTCGAGATATGCTAGCTGAAAGAGGTTTGCACGTCAGCGTCGACGATATTTGCACATTTCACATGGAAGGTAGTTACGGAGCAACTGTCAGATCGGACGATGCGTCGTTTTCAAAACGGCTCTGTAGTCTCGTTCAACCCGGCTGCACATGGGGAGGATCGAAGATAATGGTCACGCCTATTGCCGCGCCCATGCCCTCTGGTCATAACGCTCGACGCGTAGACTGCAAAAAGGTCCATGTTTCTTGGCATAAAGCAGTCAAGATTGTCTGGTTGAACTTTGGCAACGGAGATATCGCCCGCCGTGTGAGTGACATGTTCTCAAAGGGGACATATAGGGTCTTGGACCAGAGAGTCACTGCTTCTGCAGCTACCAGAGCCGAATCCGTCATACCCTCGCGGCCAGCCCGTGGGAACCATGTTGCCTGGACTGTTGTATTGACTGATGTCCCGGCTGCCGCACAGGAGCGCGACATTTTGCGAGCCATCACGCATGAGCGGAACAAACCTCACCATGTAGAGATGGGGGCCCCAACGTACTCAACAGACGAGGAGGAGGCTTGGGCGTTGATACGTTCTCTCTTAACAAATATCGGACCCCTGGAGTATTGTGACCCCCCCTTGGAGACGAATGCAAATTCCAGGCGGGTGAAGGCAACGGCGTGCTTCCTCGATGAGGCTGACGCTCGCAGAGCTTCCATGGAGCTTGGCAAAATGGAACTCCCTTTCCATCGCAAGGCACGGTTAACTGTGCAGATGGTGTACTCGGCCAAGTTCAAGGTCGCCATCAACGTTTTCGACGCTGTGCAATCTCGAATCGTTGCCCAGCAGACAACTTGGAAAGACAACATTTCCTTCAGGGCCTACAAGCCCACAGGCCCTCTGCAACGGTTCAGAGTTTTGAAGATTGAGGGCGAGTCGGCAGAAAATGTAGTCAGTGCCAAGGCTGACCTTGAATCGATCCTTGCTGGTGCCGTCGCGACGGACAACGACGCCACCCTCTGGCATTCTTCACTCAAGACCAATGGGAAGCTTTTCCAAGCGATCAAGACACTAGAGAAAGAACTTTCAGTAACCATCCTCCGGGACAAGGTGAAATCCGAATTGCGCCTCTTCGGAGCCCAGCGGCGTTGTGAAGACGCGCAGCGTCGACTGGCTCAGCTGATACGCATGGAATCAGGGTCAAATTCCTCTAGAGTCATTGAGCTTGAACCCCAGAAATTCTTTTGGGCTTGCCACGGGGGTTTCAGAACAATTGCCGGCCAACTCGGTCAAGAAAAGGTCCTGTTTGATATCATCTCCACGCCAAAGAAAATTATTGTCTCTGGTTCCCTGGAAGATTATAGTCTGGCCGTAGCAATCATGGAAGGCAGAAAACAGGTCTCAGAGCAGCCAAAAGCCCATGACACCGCGCAGGAATGTTCGGTTTGCTGGACCGAGGCCGATACTCCTGTCAAGATAAAGTGTGGACACATTTATTGCTTGGAATGTTTTGAAGACAGTTGCACCAAAGCAAACACCACGGCCGGGGAGTTCATGATCCTGTGCCATGGCAACCAGGGCAACTGCAGGAGCGTCATGGCAGTTGAGGACCTGCAGACATACCTCTCCTCGGCTGCACTCGAGACCGTCCTTGAGCTGTCCTTTTCGTCTCATGTAAAGCGTAACCCAAACACGTTTCGCTACTGCCCCAGTCCAGATTGCGACTTTGTATACAGGACCTCGTCGGCTGCCAGAACGCAGAACTGCTCCAGCTGCCTCCGGCCTACATGCTCTGCGTGCCACGAGCCGCACATTGGCATGTCGTGCGCGGAGCATCAAGACCTGAAGTCGGGGGGGTTCGCAGCGTTTATGAAACTCAAGAAAAAGCTGGGAATCAAGGATTGCCCAAAGTGCGCAACTCCGCTTGAGAAGGTCTCGGGATGCAACCACATGACGTGCGCGGCCTGCAAGGCTCATATATGCTGGGTGTGCTTGATGACATTTGCAAATGGCCCGGCCGTGTACGATCATATGGGGAAGCTCCATGGAGGCCATATCGACTTGCCGGGTGGCTAAAAGTTTCATAAACAGTCTGGGTATTTGCTTCCGTTCCATCGTTCGATGACAATTGGTTTTGTCGTTGTGGACCCGCCAAGATACTTTCGAGTTTCAACTTCCTAAATTGGCGTTAAATATCTAGCGCGGTCTAATCAGATTCGGCATGATATCCGGTATTCCGTCGGTCTAGCCACCTAGGCAGTTGATGCTTTTCTAAGGGAAGTGCGAGCAGCGTATCTGCTTGATCAGCATATTAGTCTTATAAAAGTGTCGAGAAATCTTCTGGACGCGTTTCTCTTTCGGTTTGGAGTGATAGTGGGCGTGGGTTGATGTCAAGTTGACAAGCGTTTCGTATAAAGCACCGCTGGGCAGCAAAGGGACGATAAATCAGAGTGGCAGGAAGTGGAATCGTTATTCAAGATTATACGCACTTGAAATATAGCAAGATTCGTGAATTCACGCCCTGTAGTGTCCTTGGTTTTTGTTCTTTATTAAGAGACTAACCCCGCAAAGTGAGTTGGTCTGCTTGATACTGAGCATGTCAATTTCAAAACTCCAACGGCAATATAGTTGTGGAGGTATTGGGCTCCAAAAACGTTTGGTCTTACGCGGGCATGCCCAGTGAAGTCTAGTGTTAAGATCCAGATGATAGCATACGCCAGCTTCGTACGTCTTCTTGTTCATTTGCCCGAGAAGACGTCGCCACGCGTAGGCAAAGTCGCGGAGGACTCGACCAAGAAGTGCCCGTGTCCGTGGAGAAATGTCCAATTTGTGCTCCCAGTAAGGTTCTGGGAGTGTCTGCTCTTCTGGGAATGGTTGTTTCGGGGAGCTTATTGGCACGAAATCGGCTGGAGTGAGCAGTCGCTGCCGAGCAAATTCGAGAGGTGCTGAACATAATCGATCCTCTTTCAGGAGAAAGGGCACGTCTCTATCGAGATCAAAGTTCCAGACACTGTTGGACGCACCCCCTTGGCGGCCGCCAAAGGGGTTGACGAAACATAGACGTACTTCCACCCTAGCTCAACACCCTTTTCCAGCGCTACAGCCAACGTACCTTTGGCTGAATTAGCGGTTGCTGTTGAGAGACTTTAAATAGATGGCACAGGACAAAGGGACGCCCATTCGAGATTCTCGAGGTGGAGGAGCCCGATGAAGAATTCTTCGAGCCCCCTCCCAAGCGCGTTGACAGCGACCGGCCGGTACGGAGCTATGCCAACTATTTGTTGGCGAATGGGGGCGTTATTCTGCCTCAGTTTGGCGATGAGGCCCACGACACGGCAGCCATTCGTATAGCGCAGAGGGCTTTTGGCGACGAGAGGAGAATTTGCCCTGTTCTCATTGAGGAGCTGACTCTTCGGGGTGGCGGTATACACTGTCGCGCTCAGGAAATCCCCATGTTGCCCTGAATGCCGGGTGCGAAAACAACAGAGTGTGCCTAGGTTTCCTTGGGTGACGACGCTTCAATCTTTTGACTGTACCAGGAGCCCAAATTGCCGCCCATGATGGCACACGTCGTCTGGCACACTCTTGCGCAGATTTACAGCCCGGCCTTTTTTAGATTGATCGCTGTAGTACCATCTAAATCCCCCCTGGTGTCGCTGATATAGTACATTTCTCTCCAAGACTTTGCTGAAACATGGCTTTCCAAGTACAATAATCCAACATGCCATGGCCCCATGTCTGCCACCCACTTCGGCTGTGACGAAGCTCGCGGGCTCTTATTCCCTCTTCTGCCCGCGTTCCACCTCTTGGCGCACCTCTCTTGCCACATTCATACACTGAGCGGCGCCAATGGCCGTCAGGACGTGCCACCATCCATGAAGCTCAAACAGCCAAGCCCACGGCAGCCCAAGCTGTTGCCTAATGCTCCTGAGGGCGGCGCAGTACTCTAGGTCGATGTTCCAGAGAAAATACCCAAGCACACAGAGAAAGACTGCTTTCCAAGTCCTCTTATTCCAGTCACGGCGCTTGACTTCTGGCAGCGCCGGCTGTAGCCAGTAGAGCAAGTACTGAGCTCGCAGGATGAGTACAAATACGCATGCGACAAAGGCGATGACCTGGTAAATGATTTTCGGCGACTGCAGGTAAAAGATGGCAAAAGATGCAAAGCACACGGCAAGGCCGGTGGATACGAGGCGAGATTTTGTCCGAGACTGGCCTGTTGTGAGGGTGGCCTGGAGCATGGCCCAGGTCAGGCCGAGCATGGAGAACTCGTCGGCAAACTCGAGCGTCTGGCGGAGACTGGCGTGGAACAAGAAGGATCCAATGCCCAGGACGAAGAGAGACGCGGACATGAAGTCAATCTTGGGGGCGAGCAACCCGGCGCTGCCTGGGCCGTACATGTATCGGAGGGCGAGATGGACTGGTCAAGGACGAGGGGAACTCTTAGCACCAGGCACCGCGTGGATGGGCATCAGCCGCTACACATGGCAGTTGAGACATACCATAGGCGAGGTTCGTCAGCGAGTTGATAAACTCGGCCACGTACAAGGTCAAGGCGTAGTCCTCTTCGCAGAAACTGCCTGCTCGTCAGCACAACGCGGCCTCGGCTTGTTCTGGTCGCGAAGCGCGCCTCACTTTGCTCTGCTGGTTGGCGGGCTCCAGGCTCCCCCGAGGGAATGGGCATCGCCGTCAAAACGAATATTGTGGTGGCCCATCTTTGCCGTTGCGCGCGAGGTTCGGGGTCGATGGAGCTCTCTGTTGGTGTCGAGGACGTGTGGCTGATGGAAACATGATCCGATCATCAGATGGCATCTGGATTGGCCTTGGACCTCGAGACCTGAACCCAGCACAGCCCCTGTCACTGTCATCGAGCGGCCGGGCCCTGATTGAGCAGCCTAGCCGCCGCGGGCAACCCCGGTGGCAGATCTGTCAGGGACTTGACATCACTCTAGGGTCCTGTCAGCCGCCGGTGGACGGCTCCATATGTAACTTGACTTGACATGTTAAGTGCGGGGTTGCTGAAGCGCGTCAATTCGATTTTTCCTAGAACCAACAGATGAGGAACTGTCATTTGCTCACGATGTTCCAAGTCGGCTTGTTGCGTTGACCACGATACCCCCAACACGACCGGCACTCTGTGCCTGTATCACCCAGCGACCGAACATGTCTAAGCCTCACGACGACACCTCTCTCGCGGACTGCTAGAGACAGACGTCGACGTTGAGTTCACAGACAGCTGTGGCCGCACGCCGCTTTCACGGGCTCCCGGACGCGGGCAGAGGGTGAAATATGTTTCAGGATCTAGAGGAGCACTTGAGTCTCGCGATCTCTGGTGACACTGCCGCTGTTGCCATGATCCCTCGAAAGCTTCAGAACCTATCCAACTTTGCTTTTCATGATGTGTCTGGTGCAGTATTCAATTGCTGCTTGGTCCAGACAAGAGGCCGTCTCAGAAGCGTCAAGTCCTACGTGTTGTGACATCATCAGAACCTCCTCATGAGTCGTCCCGATAGGGCACGGCGTCTCTGATAATGCGGTCTTAGCTGACATCCGCTTTCCGCGAAATCTATCCAACGTCCATCGTCGTCATATTGAGAAAGCCCAGGCCTGGTCCAGACTGGCGCGGGCAAGAACCTTCATGTACATGCAACCAACCTCGATTGGTTTAGGAAAATGCCACAGCTAGCCGCAAATGTGGCGCCAAGATTTGGGTTCAGCTCAACTGGACAGCAATGCCAGACCAGACCAGACGTTTTATACATAAGGACCTGAGAGGACGTGAGGATGGCAGTGACACCGACGCAAAGTGCCGAAAGCCAAGTTCGCATATCGCAAATCACCATGATGTTTGAATTCATGAGCAGTTTTACGCCAGCTGTGCCAGATCCAAAGGTTCTTGCGGCAACAAGGCAGGCGGAAGCATTGGAAAATATGCTTGCCAAAGACGCGTCCAAGGTCGCTCAAGTCTATCCTTGGGTGGCTGACCTCAGAGCCTCCCGAATCCCCGATTCTGAAATTGTAGAGGCCATGATCAAAACAGAAAATGTTACATGGATGGAAGATGCTCTGGACCTGGAGGGCGAAAATTATGGTTGGAGAGAAACACCGGAGCGCAAAGAGACGCCTCGCCATCTGAACCACTTAGAGCATGGGTGTGTTCATCGTCTTCCCCGGCTTGCAGAATCGAGCCAACGAATTCCATCCGATGAGCATAAGCCAGAGTCAAGTTCGTTTGCAAATACTGTTGATACTCTTGCTGTTTTTGCTCAGCGAGAACAAGTTGTCTTCAAGCATTGTGGTGTCGGTGGCGTATTGCATCCAAACGTACGGGTTGGCAACAATCACGGGTTGGTCAGCTTCCGACGCGATCGCGCCTCTGTCATTTACGGAGACGAGATCGATGACACAGACAGGACCTATTACTGGCGGACCCCGTGGAGCTTTAGCCCAACACCACTCAGGACTGGACGCATGCACCGACGGCTTGGTGAGCCGAATGAATGGATTCAATATGCAAAGGACAGCGCCTGCTTATCTTCTGGTCCTCTGGCTATTGATTGGACATTTGATCGCTTTGATCTCCCTCAAAGTCCATCCAAAGAAGAAGAGTGGCACGAAGGTTTGCTGAAATACAATGTTAGCATTCTCAAGGAGTTGCTGCTTGCTATGGAAGAACTGAACAGGCTGGGTGGATGTTGCAAGTCCTTTCCCATTTTCATCAAGCTAGGCAGCTCCAGCAGACTCACTGCTGTCGACGTAGCCTTTGACAATGTCCGGGAATTTGTTCGTCAGTTAAGCATGCCTCTGACAGAGACATATCCCCAGCCAGTTCTCCGAGATGGGGATTGGAGGCACGATATATGCAAATGGACTCGCAGCACTTTTAGTGATTTGTTTGGCGAAGAGGGTGAAACTGACTTCCTCCTTTACCGGTCGACAAGAATTAACGGCATTGCTTTCTATGTAATGCATATGGCCGCTTTATTTGCACAAATCTTCTCCGTCGGACTTGCCACATTCTGTCGAGGCCACTGCTCCGATTTCTACTTGCCTGTACTGTCTCGCACAATCGAAAAGTTTCATCTCTTGGGTGCTGGGCCAACTGGACCATATGTTATCGTCGAGAGGGCTGAGCTGTCTTGTCTGGGGGACATGCTCCACAGACCCGTATGGGTTTTCCGTTTGGAAGAACCCTTATCGACGGGTTCGAACGAGTTTCAAATGGCGATCATGTCCCAAGAGAGATATGACATCCAAGCTAGACTCTCCCAAATCTTCGATATCTGGGATGCGAGCATTGTATTCTACAGGAACGAAGACGTCAAATCTGTCAAAATAAGCATCGGGGGTGGCTTCCTCTCCCTCTCCAAGGCCCACGGGCCCTTACATGTACCAGCCGATTCAATGCTCCACTGGTCGGCTATAGATGATGGCGGCTCCTTGCCCATCTCATATCTCGAGGACGACCGAAATGTTATTGTAGGTGCTGTTGCCGTCAATGCAGGTTGCGCGCTGCGTTCCGAAGATTGTCAACGTCCCCTAGCAAGCATATTGGTTGACCTCCGGACTCACCCAGGTGGCTGGAAGACAGTTTCTAGATCTGCCGGAGGCACTCTCGGCCTTGGCGGAGGACATGTGGCTCCTGCTACTATGTCTACAACGGCCAGTGTCACACAACAACGTTTTGACCCGACCTTTGTGAAGGGGAGTCAAGTGCAACAGTGGAACAGGTCTTCCCATGATTTGACCATCCTTAATGCTCCGTGGGGACTCGAGCTCAGCCTTTGCACAGGTGTGGTACGGAGAGTGCCTCTCAGAACTCTCCTAAATCAGACTGTAGTAGATTACCTTCAGTCTAAGCTTGCCGCTAGAAATATTGGAGGCGACGCCCAAGCCATCGCTGGAACGCTCGATCGGAATGTCATCGAGCGAATCCAACAAGCTGCCTCTAATAGCGATGCTGCTGCCATATGGACCGACCTCAGAGCCAATCATCCCGCTCAATTTAATGCCATCGCAGTTGCCCTCGAGAACTTTGTCGACGCGATACAGTGCTCGCGTGTTGACAAGAAGAACCTCTTGCTTTGGTGGCCCGAGCCGCACGGGTCGACCGATAGAGGGATCAAATTCGAGCAATCATGGTGCCAGGGGGATTCATGGATCCCCATTCTAGAAGATACCGAGACATGCGCCATCTTTGGTCTGGCGACATGTACTTGCCTGACTTGCGTGGTTTGTATGGACAACAGTGATACAACCAGGGCTTGTCAAAATCGCGACTGGTCAGCAGGCGCTCCAAGGCCACTGAAGGAGAGACAGCTCATTCTCAATACCGGTATTGTCGCAGTGGGCGGAGCCAGAGCAATCCCGAACCTCAGACTTGATGAGCGACTCATTCTCAACAGTTATAAGGCAGAGAGACATGTATTTAAGGTCCGAGGGATAACCGAAGGCGCTCCAAGCGTTCTTGAATATCGCGGCCTATGGTCCCGTCCTGCTATTGCATTGTATAACCTGTTTAACCATAACATCCAAATGAGGAATGTGCGTGAGAGCGCCGACTATTTGACGACAGGGCTAGAAGTTCTTGTAGTATATCGGCAACCATAGCTGGAGGGACGAATACGGATGGGATTTCGAGATTGTCGAGGAGACTATAATGCGTGGAGCCAGATAATAACGCTTTAATAATAACACGAGTTTGTCCGTTTCCTTCTTTACTTGCAGAAACAGAAATGAAATGCACTGCAAAGAATTTTGTAATTAGTAGCACGGGGTAAAGAGAATATAAGAGCTGGGGCCGTACATTTATCTCTAATTACTAATTAACTAAAATACTCCAAATACCCGTTAAGTTGCTAAGGCAACGGACTTTACAACTAAATATCTAGCCGAAAAGGAAATACTATATAATTCTAATTTAACTTCCTATAAGGTCCGTAGAACCCTGCTCCCACTTGCGGCGGTAATTAGAGTAGTTATACACCCGATTCTTAGTTTATCCAAGTCCTGGCACTACCTTCTAATACTGCCTTTTCTCCGAGTTTTGCCGTGAGTCATAGGTGCCGGCGAGGACGGAACCACACACCCAGCCATTCACGGCACTTGCTGTAGTTGCAGGTGCCAGGGCTAGTTGGTAATATTAAGTAACACGGGTACTCAGTTGGCGATGACTTTAGCAAACCAGCTGCTTCTACCAAGGTCACAGCGAAGCGGCGATCCGAATAACAAAAAACGTATTGTACTCTATATGTTCCTAAGCGCAGCCGACTGACGATGCGACTCAATCTTCACAACATGCGCCCTAACGCTGTCATGTCTGAAATTGACCTAGCAACGAGGAGGAGCCTTGAGAACCTCTATCCAAGGAAATGGGGGCGCATTCTTACACATCTCATCCTGCGTCGAGATCTTGAACTCAGCAGAAGCAGTGTTGTTGGGAAACAGATCAATCAAGGTAGCCAGTCCCGGCACAAAGGTCGGCCATTGATACATCTTTTCAAGGCCGTGAGACGGGTCTCTGATAAAGGCACCAAACACCTGCTGCAGATAGCGAGATGCCCCGATAGTCGCTGCACGGTGCTCCCGAGTCTTGTTCTGTGCAAGCAGATTGTATGTGCCCATTAGAATGGGAATATCCGCTGCTGAACTATTAGAAATTGTCCTCATGGGGCCGGTCGGGATTTCGAAAAAGGAATGCTTACCTTGGTGGTATGCCCGTGCCCAAGGGAACGGCGTCACAGCAGGGAAAACGCCAGCATATCGATACCGCCATGTAGGCACGCGATGGACATGTCTGAACCTTTTCTCTCAGGTTAGCCACTATCCGCGCATTGCCAAGGTCATTCGTCTAACCCTGCTTCCAGTGCCATGTTGCAGTTAAAAATGAGTGCCGTTGCCAAGTCAGAAAGAGTTTTGTTCACACCGCACTTTTCAGTCCAGTTCAGGATAGAGTCGCCTTCGTTCTTGGTGTGTCCCATTAAAGTTGGCTGGTTTTAAAAAACAGGAGTCAGCAAGGTCAGGAGGTAGATTTACTGCATCGGAAAGAGTATTCGCTTACAATCTTAGCAAACTTGCCTGCCGAGCCACGATGGACATATTCCCGCATCGTGAACAGAGTGACATTGTCCACCATGGGAGTCCCCCCCGACGGAGCGCCAAATGCGTTCAGCGTCTTGTCAGAGATGGCGCGCATTAGTACCTCGGCGTTTACTGTTCTCATGCATTCTAGTTCCTGCAGCCGGTCCGCGCTGTTGGCACAGCCTACTGACGTGGCAACTCGCACAAACTCAGAGTCAACGTTCTGCGTGGCCGCCCCAATGATTTGAACAGTGCCGCTCTGAAGTATGAGTCCAGAAACAATGGGATCGTCCATGTGCGAGTAAATCATTGCGCTACCGCTGTCTGCGCCGGCGGACTGGCCGCCGAGGGTGATTCTGTGTGCATCACCACCGAATCCAGCAATGTTATCGCGTAGCCATTCCAAGGCGGCTCTTTGGTCCCTCAAGCCAAGATTCTGAGCTCCCAAGGCTGGGGTGTTTGGGAAGCCAAAGATGTTCAGTCGATAGCTGGTGCTTTTTGTCAACCTCACCACCCTATGTCCTCTCTAGTACAACAGTAAACTTACTTCCATGTCACCACGATAACATCTTTATTTTCCGCGACAAACTGGTTCGGGTTGAAGAGCGGCATGCTCGCGCCGCCTTCACCAAATGCGCCTCCGTATGACCAGACAAATACTGGCAATAGTCCATCCTTGCGGCGAAAGGCATGCCGGGGTACGAATACATTCAAAGTCAGGCAATCTTCGGATTGCCCAGACGTTTCAACAAGAGAGTCTCCTAAGATTGTCCTGTAGTGAAACTGGTGGCAAACCGGTCCAAACTTGGTAGCGTTCAAGACGTTGGAATGCCCATCTGAGGCGCGGTTCAATGGCGGCTGGGGTGGTTCAAAACGTAGGAAACCAAGCGGAGGTTGAGCGTATGGAACCCCCAGGAATGCGTTGACCTTATTCTGTACTTCAATACCGCGTACAGGGCCTTGACGGGTATTTGCGATGAGACCTGTGCTGCTGTTTGGCTGTGCTATTACTTGGGTAATAGCGGCGATGGAAAGCGACGATAGTACAAGCGATGATTTCATTTTTGATACGGGAACAAACAGCAACCGATAAGTCCATGTTTTGCTTTACCGAATTTACAACCTGCGAGCGAGACTTATATAGAAGGATATCTGGATTGTGTCCCGATCATATGGGCTTGATGCACAGCCACCATGACGTTGACTGCGTACGTCTGTTGTCAGGGGAGGAACAGTTACTAAATAAAGGACAGGCGAAATATTACGCATCGCTACCTTCATCATGTATTGCCGCGCGTTATCCTTACAGGTCCGGTTTGGATCTCCTGAAGCGTTATGGAGATTCGTCAGCCGCAGCAACTACCGTCGCTTCCACGGCGGCCGAAGGCGCATTGCCCAAAGAGGAAAACGAGGAAAACGAGCCCGGCCCCCTTCTCCGTACTGGCCGTCTATGTAAGAGCACGAACACGGGCGGGGCCGAGTCTGGCAACCCAGAATCTTGACTGGGATATAGACTCCCGATATGACGATTCTCCACGAAACTTGCTCTTGTAACCATCGGCGATGATGATAAGCGGCGCAAAGAAGTTATCCAGTTTTCCATTTGTCAAGGCTGTGACGCCGAGGACCTGGCTTTACCTTGAACCATGATCAAGTATCAACCGCCGTTTCTATAACCGCAACGTTGGCTTCTCAGACGAATCGAGCCTGATGGAAGGATAACCCCTGAGGTTTCTTGTAAAAGCCATGTTCCTTGGGGATTGATGAACTGTCGAGTAGATATGGAATGGTGACCGGTCGGTTACGCTAAAATACTTGGTAACCCTTGACTGGGATGCCTTCGATGCCGTCTAGACAGTGTCTACGCCCGAGGTTTCCGAAGGCTTAAGCAACGCCTGGCTATAAAAGCTCTCCGACAATGCGACCTGGTTCTTTCAGAGAACGTTCCAGGATGAACACTGGGCAAGATTGTCGTGCGAGTGTTATTACCATTGCAATTCCGAAAACGCCCGCCCAGCGACGACGACATCTGCATAGTGGTGAGCCGTGCGGCGAAATGCGGCAGCATCTGAAGCAGATCCTTCCATTTTTGAGACTGGCCAGCGAGGAGACGGAGCAGAGCCGTCAATGAAGCATAATGGCGACGGGAACAACTGTGAAAACAATTGTCCCAAGAAGACCGTTGTTCGCGTACTAGAGACCTCGATGCCGACTAAATTTAAACTGTGAATGGCCTGTTTTTCTATCTATGCATGGAGCACAACAAAGTTACTGGAAGCACAGACAAAGTTGGTTTGGCCTGCTTCCAAGCAGCCCCCTTTCCATCTTTGCGAGTCTACATCCATGTCCACTTGCAACGACTCAAAGTGAACTTGCTCCTTCCGTTCAAGCCATCTTCGCAATAACCCGCCGCAATATGCAGCATAGATGCGAAGCCCAATTGCAAAACCAAGCTTTGGGGTCCTGGGGCTTGCTGGCTGATTAGCGAACAGCGGCACTGTCGGTCAAGATGCCTGACCAAAGCTGCTTGCATTGAGGCATCTTGGATCTCGAGGGCATCATGTGTGATGCACGGGTCAAGGTCTGCTATCGTCTGGTCAAATGTATGTGAAGTCAGTGGTCTTTCCAAGAATTTGGTCCAGCTAATACAGCCAGCCTGAGCAAAGTACCTACTTAAGTACTTAAGTACTTAGGTCTAAGTAGGCATGGCTCAGAGCTACATATGTACCAGACATTATACGTCGAGTTGCCCACCAGTCGCTACCCAAAATATGACGGAGGCCGCTTTCCCCCTTTGACATCTCCATCTTGTCTTCCTCAGCGCATGAATACATCAATTATCCCGGCTGCCCATCATCTTTCGCCAAGCAGGTATATTCATCGTCATCACCTAGTCGCGAATAGCGTCATCAGCCACGACCTCATCTCGAGCCATGGAATCCTATAGATCTCTGACCGCTAGCAATAAACCGCTTCTCATGATGAGCTCTGGCCAATGCGGCTCGGTCTGGGGGATGGCGATGCTGCACAGGCACAGGCATCACAGCGTCGGCGTCGTCATCAAGCGCGAGCATGCAGGTCCCGGCAGGTATCTCAAGAACGAGGCTACGCTTCAGCGGCAAATATTCACCACAGCATGGAGCCTGCAGTTCACCTCGGTGCCACAATGCTTCGATCTTGTACACCACGAAGACGACGAAAGATGGCGCGACCTTCTGCTGATACTGCCTGCTGGCCAGGGAAAATGCACAACCATGATCGCCGAGAGAATCACTGCAGTGTCGAGACAAGCGCAGATGCTCCTCGTCAAGAAGTACAACTGGACGCCGACTCGCCACCGGCTCATGCAAACCCTCGAGTCTAATGCATACTACACCCACTGCTTAGTTCACCTCTATCTTGGCCGAAGACGACCTTGTAGTCTAGGCGTGCCCGCCACACGGCCCGAGGTCTTCACGCTCTGCAACTTTCCTCTCCACGTCGACCAGATGGAAGAGCTCCAGCTGCCTTGCCCAAAGTATGCCAAGGCCATGGCCGAATCATTAGCAATGTTGCACTGGGAGATGAGATTAAGCGGCGCTCGCGTCAAGTTTGTGCTCGGAGGACGCAGAGGAGCCAGAAGGATGAGTGCAAGCACGCCTCTTGCAGAAAGCACCGTCTGGATGTTCGATTTTGACCGCCTCAGGCCTATTCAGGCAAATGTATCCGGTCTAATATCCATCGCGAGGGCCTTTTGGCGCAATAGCCCTTATTGCCCTCGGCCGGATAGCACCTTGTGGAACATCTTTGCCGATGAGTATCGACGAGTCGGCAAGGAAAAAGTCCAAGCTTATCCTCGACATGGAGAATGTGTGGAAACCTTGTGCGACTTGGTTGATGGCGCCTTGAACATGATCGTCATGGGTCAAAAGATGTGGACCATTAGAGGCCGGTTTTAGGCCATGTTTACGCTTTTACTCTGCATAGTGTACGCTGCTGCTCTCACCCAGTATGAGACATCGTTAACGATTCCAGCATTGGTTACCTTCAGTACGCAAGGTCGAATCAAGGGGAAATCGGCTTTGCGACACGGTTGGGGCCGTCGGGAAGATTGCCGTTGTTAGTCTTGTTTTACCTAGTTCCCGCGCATAGATACTAGGAACAAAAGCGATTGTACTTGATTCAAGTTATATAATGTTAGCTACTAGCCACACTTAGGCCACCTTCTTCCCCGCAAAATACGAAATCTTCAAACGTAGCGCTGGATGGATGATAAGGAGCATCAAAGGGGGGTTCAACTTACATGCCAATAACCCGCCAACTAATCCCAATATTTGAAAGCCAATTGCCAGCTGGTAAATACAAGCCAGGCCAGACTCAGGCTGGTCAATTTGGGGACCTAGCAACCACGGCGGACGATTGTAGGGTCGAGCTTTTCGGAGCGTATCGAATGGGGATCATCAGGAACTTTCATAAACCCTTTCACTTGTCTTTATCTGAGCAAATGTATTTGTTGACGGGGACACTGTCATTTCGAAGGAGTACGAGCCAGCAGGTGAAAGCGTCATCACAAGCCGAGCAAAGCGAATAGTGTGCAGAGGAATAGGATACAAATGCAATGCATTTACTCACTTGTTGGGATTCAACGGCCGTGATCCACAACTCAGAGCCAGTTTCTGGGGGGAGGCCTTGGATAGAGCACAAAAGGCTTCGAGAAGAGCAAACAAATACATTTGAATGGCATTTCCGCCAAGACTCTTGTCGACGGTTTCGAGAAGACTCAAAGTGTGAGCTAGAGGATGGTTCCAGTCGACGCGGAATAACCACCCCCGCTGCGTTTACTTGGTTCCGAGTTGAACCGGCCACCAGCAGGATGGGTTCCCAGGTTTCAATTTCAGCTATTACCACAAATTGCCTCCATTATATGGCGCCATTCGATACACGAGCCGCCTATGTCGTTCTTGCTTGTCGTGCTGCCAACTTTGTCTCCTTGGGCACATGCGTATTATCCTTCTTCGCCTCCTCCGGTGCATTGTCATATGTCAAATCGATACAATAAACCTCTTCCCCATCAACTCTTGTCTTCTCGAGGGACACATAGACAGCTTTACACGCGTTCCTCCATATATCTCTTAGCACCAACATACGTTCCTGCTCGAATTTTCGCGAAGCAGCAACCATTTTGGTCGCATCTCCCATGTGCGCCGTCAGGTTCTTGGTAGTGTCTTCTAATGACGCCAGGCTTATCCATGGTTCCGACTCGTCTGCCATTTTCCCCAGAATGAGCATGAAGCTGTGTCCCTTGTGCATGTCATCGGTAGGCTCAACGTCTTGTCGCCAATTGAAGTAGCCGTAGGCGGCGAATTCGGCCGCTCCGTCATTCATAAACATGCTCCGCTGCGAATCCCATTCGTCTTGAGGCAGCCACATCGTCACCTCAAAGGGAAAACTCTCGTCCGTGGTGCGCGTTTTGGTGTTGATTCCCTTGCGAATCATCAGTGCGTTGCTGTGGCTTCCTTGGAGTTCGCGTGACCGAGCAGGGCTGATGTATCTGAAAAGAAAGAGTAACTGCACGCTCGAGGTGTCCTCTGCTGATTCGGCCCCAAACTCGCCTGCTCGTATACGACTGTAAAGTCCACCACCGTGAGGTTTGATCCATATGCCGACTTGCTTGCTTTCATTGCCACTCGCCTCAACACACTGCAACTTGAGAAGGTAGGCCTGCTGAGATCCATGGAAAATGCTGGTATGGATTCGGAGACCCTTATTGCTTCTCAAAAACTCGGGCATAAACATGGTGCTACTAGCTAATTCGACCGTTCCTGACTCACGGAAATCGGCTGGGCTGGTGGCATACACGCCATAATAAATCTGTTCGGGAAGCGACTTTCTCCATGCAAAAATGCTAAGGTCATTGGTGGAGTTTGAGATTTCTTCCTGTAGTCTTAAAAATGCACGGTCGCCTTCTCCATACAGCAGTGGCATGCTGACGTCGAAAATTCCCAGTAAACAGTACGCCATGTCTTCAATCCGAGTTGTTCTGCGCTCAGACACCCAAGACATCCGACGCGCTACCGACAATGTGTAGAGTGATTCGGGCGATTCGAGCACATTGCCGGGTACCTTTGTGATATCTGTTAAAAGATATTTCAAACCTGATTTCGAGCCACGAAAGTTCCAATTTGCATCGTAAAACTCTACCGCTCGCGGCGCAATCAGCTCCTGTAGAGTCCATCCACGTTTAAACCACCGGCAGCCCCTCAACGCCTCAGTATCAGGCTCTAATGAGCTGTCGGGGAGTAAGTCGGTAAGCCAAGCATAGCAAACAGTGGCTCCGCGATACCAACGAAACATGGAGTTGATAGCTTCGCTTAGCTCCGCGCTGCTAGACTTGTCTATGCAACAAGTGTCGACCCAAGCATATTTGAGACCCGATCTTTTGGCCAGTTCACAGGTTTTGAGGATTTTCGCAAACCCCTTCTTTTGAAGCCTTGCCTCGTGACTCGAATGCACAAAGTCCTGGAAAATGACCTCATCTTCTCCCCACGTGTGCGAAAGTATGGCGTAATGCGGTATCGCACCAACGAATTCCTCCAGGAGACCTGATTCGACATTGATGAGTTTCATGGTCTTCGGACCTGGCCTCGATGGTCGATTGCGGTATCATAAGCTGTCGCGACAGTCTGTCACGGTCGGGCCGTGGCGTGACAGACAAACAGATGCCTGATGGTACGGAATGATGGCCAAGGGACCCCAGACAAATCATGCAGACGAGGACTGGGGTGTTCAATGTTCCGATGGACCAGGGTCCGGGTCTGGTACTCAACAAGTCAATTGTCCAGGACCTAACAATACCCAACCACAAAACACAATTGACGTTTCAGTTACAACAAAATTGGGGAATCATGGCGAAATGAATGTCAGAATTGGCGGAAAGCTGGTAGATGATGTGAATTTATACCTCATTCTAATCTCTCCCCAATGAGTCTGCTTCCTGACAACAACCTGGCGGCCACATTGAACCAAAACACGTCCAAATGTCGTGGCTTGTATGGGCATACCGCCGCAGTGCGTGTGGTAAGTTAGAAAGCCGCCATCTGAATCGCTCTTTGTCGTGAAGGCACAGAGTGTCTGTCCTGGGTGGAATTTGTGGGCAGCTCTAGCTGTTCGTTCGTAACTCAGCCATCTGTTTATTCTGGTCCGCCGGGCCTCACCAATCACCGTACATAATTTTCATTATCCCTCGGTGCTGAAGCATTGCCCATGAGGTGTGTGGGGCTGACATCCCAGGTACGACCAACCAGGCATACTCTTTTAGTCGATGCACGCCTGTGCCTGCATCCGTTCCGGTTCGTCGGGCCAAAAACTTGTGTCAAAATAAAGTAGTGACAATTGATGGAGACGTGGCGATGCACGGGAACCGTGAATGGGAGCGTGGAAGATAACCAACCAACAACTGTTGACGAAGACGATTCAAGATGCCCTTTTTTCCGGCGCGCACCAACTTTAAGTACGTACATAAGTAGGCAAGGAGGGGGGGCAAGGGGAGCACGGTCATTGCCGCAGGTACGGAGATAGGAAGGCAATGGTTCCCGGTACGGCATATATCCAGAAGGCGGCGATTACGTACCAGGAATCCATTTTAGACAAGACAACTAGCCTTGGCTCGGAACCGCATGCTACTGTGACGGCTGAATCCTCCGTTATTGAGAGGCATCATGATAATCTGGACGACTCGCTTCTGCTAACGCGCCATCACCACCTCCCGAAATTTCGACTCGGCCAGATGTGAACATGACGATCACGAATGCAGCAATGCCTCGACAGATCGATCCTCAGCTACAGCTAGTGCAGGCCGGACACGGACAGTTCTTGGTCTCCTTTGGGCCCTTCTCACTATCGTCAGCATGCACAGGGTCTCTCGTTGGTTTTATTTATTTTTTGTTCTTCTGTCGGTTACTCGCTCGTTTCCCCAATGGCAAGCTATCGATACCTGTTGCTCGGTAAGCCTGTGAAGCGTGCGCATCCCTGAGGACGTCTTGCTAGTACTAGTACTTACCGTTCCTTGTTGCCGCCATCAGCGCTGTGGATCTGAGTGGACAAATCGTGGATCTGTGGGCAAACAACCAATTGGTCCCGGCTCATACGGGTGTTTCGTGGGGGAGCCCTGGAAGTGGCCAAGCCAGCCAGTGGCAACGCATCCCGCCCTCGAAGAACCCGCTTCGTCTTCCGTATCGTGGGGGGCAAGTGGTTTGCTGCTTTGAATCGCAAATGGTGCAAAGGCTCATAGTCCAAGGACCCATGGGGGGGCGTCGAAGACAATCTCGACGCCTGCACATGGATGGAAGGTTTTAATCTGTGTGGAGTGGATGAGGCATGGCCCAGCTCTACACTGCCAATGTGAATGGATGGCTCCTTCCTCAAGCCCACCAAACATCTTTATAACTACCTAGGTACCCGCACCCTTTCCTTTTAGAATTCATGCTCAAAACTCAAGCATACTTCATGACTTACCTCCCACCTCTCATAGCCTTCAATCTTACTGTTCCCTCAACATTTGAATCCTCTGCCCTCCTCCGCGCACCTGGATAAGTAGATACTGGTGCCAAGGCCTTTCCAGCTTCATCCAACTCCCTAAAACTGCCCCCTTCGTCATCGACTCAGAATAACTCAGAACTGTCGCAATGACTGCATCATCCTCAGCCGCCCCCCAATCGAATGGCTACCACAACAGTGTCACTGGTTCTCCCGCCACTTTGGAACCTGGCATCTTCGTTCCTACCGTAGCCTTCTTCGCCTCGGACGACAGCGTTGATGAGGAGACGACCAAGAACCACGCCAAACGCCTTGCTCGCGCTGGGGTCGCGGGCCTTGTAACTCATGGTTCCAACGGCGAGGCAGTTCACCTCGATCACGCTGAGCGCAAACTTATTACACGCCTCACACGAACTGCCCTAGAAGAGGTTGGCAAGGCACATCTCCCAATTATCGTGGGTTGCGGTGCGCAGTCAACTCGAGAGACCATCCAGCTGTGCCGAGACGCTGGCGAATCCGGTGGCACCCATGCCCTTATCCTCCCGCCTTCCTACTACGGCGGTTTGTTGAACACGGATTTAATTATCGAACACTTTCGCGCGGTGGCAGACGCAAGTCCGGTCCCGCTTCTTATTTATAACTTCCCCGCCCCTTGCGGTGGACTGGATCTCAGTTCTGATACGATTCTCACTCTCGCCAAACATCCTAATATTGTTGGTGTTAAGCTGACTTGCGGCAACACTGGCAAGCTTGCTCGTGTTGTAGCCGGTACTCGAGGCACATCTTTCAGAACGTACGGCGGAAGTGCCGATTTCATCATTCAGACACTATCGGTAGGTGGCCATGGTGTCATTGCTGGACTGGCCAATATTTCTCCTGTCTCTTGCAACGAGGTTGTTCGCCTCTGGAAGAATAGCGAGGTTGAGAAGGCCGTTACGATTCAGGGTATTGTTGCCCGTGGTGACTGGGCAGCCATTAAGGGGGGGTTTATTTCTGTCAAGGTTGCTCTAGAGAGTTATTACGGCTATGGGGGACTGCCCCGAAAGCCATGCACTGTTCTTGAGGGCAAGGCCCTCAAAGCTCAAGTTGCCGAGTTCCAGGAGTTGGTAGAATTGGAGACCAAAGTCAGTGCCTCTACATAGACCAATATTCATCTGCCGAGAGCATGTGAAGTACACAAGGATCAAACGTGTGAAGAGGAATCTAGATGTTATGTTGGACGGAAGAATAATAACCAGTGGCTTTATTTTGCATAGCAAACTAGGCGTTATGATATGAAATTGATTAACAATTGATCATAGCATAAGTTTGTATTGCTGACTGCTGAGACAATTGTATATCGATACTCAGTTGTTGTTCTTTCAGTTTTTCAGTCTTTCAGGATTGGCTTCGTATTTCCTAAGGTGTCACGATTGCCATGGTCAGCCAAACGGGTTCAATATAACCAACGCAAAAATCCTAGTTATGTGACCACGTTTCACGGCAGCAACCAACAACTTCACCAGCTCATGCGCTCCAGGATCAGGGCACGAGTCTGCCTAAACTTGCTCTTATTCGTTTTGTCGATTCGCATCCCTTGTAGGCTGCCTTTACAGTGCTTCTGAGATCAAGATACTGCATTAGTGTTACAAAAACCAGTGTCCATCTACTACTGTTCTACCACTAGGTCAGACAGCTGTGTACTTCGCAAGACTTGGGACTGCGGCTTGCAGGCTCACGGCCCAGGTCTGTGGCGTCATTTCTTGCGACGAAGCTGTAGAAGAGGCCTGTAATCCGAACACAATGGCATTTGTAAAAGTAGTGTGCAAAGGCCCTGGCGATCCTCCCACACTGCCCTCGACAATCCGGGCAATAGTGCGACGGACAGGGCGTACTGCATCGGAAGGCTTAGGTGTCTAGGTAGTATACTGGAGGACGGCTTCGGCCTCGGTCTTAAAACACAAACCGCAGTCCCTGCCGCGTACAAGCATGTCGTAATTGCGGTCTGGGGCCTAGAGGCGATGAGGTTGTTTAGTGCCCACTTGAGCATTTGGTTGCAAAACCGGTGTCGACTGTAGTGTTAGTTCGTGGGCGAGAACAACTGAATAGGAGTTGAAAGAGACGGCTTACTCGTGGAATTCCTGGATACATAATTAGCATCATATTTCGCACTGATCCCTCCGAGGTTATTGATACGTGCATTACTTGATCGGAGGCTTCAACATTGATACAAGCACGGCCATAGTCGGAACGATAGAGTAGCTCCTTGAGCATGGTGCACACAAGGCCGGGGAAATCTCTCTTCACTCATTCGAAGCCATCTTCATTGCGTATGCCCATTCTGGTTTCACTTTCATCCCCGAGTTCGTTGGGAACAATGTCTGGCCCAGGTACGTGGACATCGGGGCAGTGAGGTGCCGACAGCAGCTGTATTCTGAGCTGCTAGGTTGCCAATTTTGTAGACCTGTTCAAGAGAGGCTCTTGATCGTAACACAGCGTTTAGCTTTCACAACAGAGCCTACTGTTTATGATTATACTGAGCTAGAAGCTGCAGAAGTCGTTGCAATCTTTGCACCAGTACGGTCCCTGCCAGACTTCTTGGTTCATTCTTCCTCGACGGTCCCGGCAAACGCCGACGTTGTCGCCTATAAGAAAAGGTCGGCTCCTTTCCAAAAGCCAAAGCAAAATTCATCATGATAACCAAGATTCTTCTCCTTGGTTGCGCAGACCCTACCCCTTGAATGGCACAATAATTAGGGCCGATTTGTTGAGACTTGGGAGCGTCGAAACCTACCAGACGTTATTGACTCCATGGCTGCCATACGATGTCTGTTGTTTACCAGGACGGCTTTTTGCAAAAATGTCAAGCCAAAAGGTCACCAGTGATTCTGCTCGCAGCTGTGCAGTATCACATCCATGTGCTTTTGGGTCCAGGTGAGGAACATTGAAGCGTCCTACCGTCGATTTTCTTGGTTCAAGCACGTGCTCCACCTCGCACCTTCCCCCGCCAAGACAACTCGCCGCAACGTGCAATTTGACCCCCAACTTAACCGTAATCCCCTTCAATTGAAGAAATTCATAAGACCACAGTCTGGTGCGGAACCCCCATCTAAACCTCAAAACCTTGTCGTCTGTTTCTTGTGACCCCCCATCGAAATGCTGGGTCCTCTCGACTTCCATCAATGGCTTTCAGATTCTCGATTCAAAAAGGGGCAAACGTACGCACTGCTCTTGCGCCCCAAGTTGTACTTCAGATGAACCCATTTATAGGGTTCCAGGATTTGTCTGACTTTTGCCGACGGATCAACCTTGGCGAACAAGGGGATACTTGACGTTTACACTATCCGTCAACGAGGCACATCACCAGCTTTGGGCACTCGAATACCAATGTATTGACCTAGCCTCCGAAAGCGCCAACGTCCGGCACCACTGTTGAACAACTTGACTTGTCTGGTACAATCCCCGTCGACATCCCCAACATGACAGGTTTCATCTGCCGCTGGACTTGATAACTCTCATGCTCCGTAAAGAATGCTTTCTACTGGGCTCCCCCATAACTGAAGCCATCCGTGGAACCCAACCGTGATATTATGAACTCTGATTACACCCTCCAAGCGAATGTTCCGTCTCTCCAGCGCACATGGCCTTGCACTTGTTGGAGTACACTTTGTTGCCCGCACAGACTGGCGCATACTCCATGGTGCAAAAGCAGTTACGTCCTGCCTCTGCGTCTTCAACTACAAATCTCAGCGGGCTTGCCTCGCTATGTCTGTCAGGAATCTGATACTTACGGGAGTCCGAAGTAACGTTTCCAGGCTCTGCGGCTACGTCGCGAACGCTAAGGGGAGTAGCGAGGCCAACCTGCAACAGGGCTGCTGTGCTGAGAAGAACGAGGAGTGGATGGAACATGTTGAAATATTGAATCGAAGTGACCTGCCCGTGGACACAAGAACGACTATAGACACTGAGGTAGTATTGCGAAACGTCGGCGATTTGCGCGCAGACAAACATTGGGCTGGATGCCATGCGCACTCTTTATACACAGATACTAAAAGGACTCATGTCTCTGTCTAGGCGTAGCAATATGACAAGCTTGTGCCTGGCTCACTCGGTCAATTTGCTATGAGCACAGGCCTACATGAGCTGAATGCTGCAGGGTGCATTTCCCATTGTTTGATATATCAAAATAAGCCGTGCATTTCCAAGAGAGACAAAAAAGTATATGACGGTACGACATCATTGGTGAGATATTGCAAACCAACAGGGTCACAGGTAAGACATTTCGAACCAACAGCCGCAAGTCTAGCGGACAAAGGGCTTTCAACTCGACCAGTCAGCTCTGGAGCCAACCAGAAACACCATTATAATGAAAGTTTTTTTTTTCTCTTTTCGTGGCTAGTCGCCGATCTTTGCCGGTAGTCAAACACGATGCCTGGAGACAATGATAGATGAGTATTTTGTTGCCTATACGAGCTCGGGAAGAAAGTTGATTCCAAACTGTCTCGCGCAGCATCGTCATGTCTGCATAGGCATGCCCAGGGGATCTACAGGGCCCATTAAATAAACAGGCGGCTCATCCAAAAGGATGTAAATGACGCCTATTCAAGTTACACATCTTGCAAGGATAGCTCTTAAAGTCGTTGTATGCATCACAAATCGTTGCAAATGCAGTTGGTCAACACAAAGATTCGCATCAAGCCAGCTTCAAACCGCAACTCGTCGTATCCGCGGGGACAAGCTACGCCGGCAAGTATATAGTCATGTTTTTTTTTATTCTCCTATCAAACCGGGCACCATCTAGTCCGTTACAAGGTCTTTGAATTCTCATCAATCGTGACGCCAAACTGGGCCGTCGCCAAGCCATAACTCGTTGCCACGGCCTCACTCCCGTATACCCTCATCTCGCGCTCATACTCGTCCGTCAAGCCCTCCCTATACCCGCCAGCCTCGCCGAGCAGCCTCCCCAGCAGCGCCGAGTCCCTGACGGCGGTATTGGCACCAATGCCCCCGGCCGGCGTCATGGAGTGGACGGCGTCGCCTATCACCGTCACGCGCGGCTCGTTCCTCCACTCGGGCACGCCAGAGGGCGTGGAGCATGTGATTTTCCAAAAGGCGGCCTCGGAATCCTGCATCTGGTCAAACAGCGGCCTCAGCCGGGGGTGCCAGTCGCGCGTGAGCTCGCGGGCGATGCGGGCGGCGGGCTCGCCGATGAGCGAGTAGTCGTCGTTGGGGGCGGCGATGACGCCCGGCTGCGCGCCCATGGTCCAGCCAAAGCTCACGTCCGGGTCGTCCATGTCGCCGGCGCGCACGTTGGTGATGACGAAGACGCGCCCGCCGGGCCGGGTCTTGTCGACGACGCGCCACACGCCCTCGCCGAGCTGCTTGAAGGCCGTCGTCGGCGCCTGGCCGTGGATGCCGCGCGCCCCCGTGTCGTACACCTTGAGCCTGCCGCCCGACAGCTGCTTCGCGACCTTGGAGTTGATGCCCTCGCCGCCGATGAGCATGGCGCCCTCGTCCGACTTGGTGCCGTCGGCGAAGACGGCCCTCACCCCGGAGCCGGTGAGCTCGTACCCCGTCACGGCGTGCGACCACTTGATGTAGGGCTCGCAGCCCTCGAGGAACAGCCGCCGCATGTCGCCGCGCGCAATGCCCACGACCTTGCCGTCGCGCGAGTGCAGCGTCTCCTTGATCGTCTGCTCGGCCTTGGCGGCGGCCTCGTTGGCGGCAGGCCGCGTGTGTGCCGTGCCGTCGGCGGGCACAACTTCACCCGTCTTGGGGTCCAGCTCCGCGAAGCCGCCGCCGCCCGTCTTTCCGCAGGCGTCCCAGAACTTCTGGAAGGCCTCGGGCGTCAGCACGGATTCAATCGCGTCCAGGCCCTCGCTTGACAGCCGCAGCCGGTAGCCCTGGGCGCGGAACGAGAGGGAGCTGTCGCGCTCAAAGATTTGGAAGGGGATGTTGGACCGGAGGAGGGAGCGCGCGAGGAGCAGCGACGCCAGTCCGCCGCCTGAGATGAGGATCGGCTTGGCCATGGCTCCGTTGGGCTATGACAGTTTGGTGATGCGGTGTTGTAGTGGTGGCGGCGCGAGTATTGGGCGATGCGGTCTGGTTCCTTCAATGTGCGTCGCTAGGCTCATTTATGTGTCTGGCACATACTATTTTCATCATGGTGGCTTTGTTTAAGCTTTGGGCTTCGTCATGCACACCGCCATGACAAATGGGCGGATCTGCTTAGTCCCAGGATTTGAAATCGCATCTATATCTGACGTTTTTCTCGGCCGTATTTGCAGTTGCTGCTACGCTGACATAATAAGCGCGCGCGGCCCGTATCAACCCGCCATCACCACATGTGCAGTCTGGTTGCTTTTAATGCTCAGCTCACTTATGCGCCTTGGGGATACTTTTGCGTTCCTTCTTATTCCAACGTGTCTTTATTTCGGCTACGTGTAAAATAAAAAATAAAATAGAATAAGATCTAGCCCCAATTTTAGTTCCCCATGCGCCAATGCGATATGTACAATGCTCAACCTCGTTCTAATGGGACTTCTTGCCCTTCTTGGCTTTTTTGCTCGCCTTTTCGCCCAGGACCTCCTCGTACACTTCGGCCGCCGTCTGGCCTGCTTTGCGCTTCTGCTTTGACTTGACGCTCACGACGGGATTGGTCTTGCCGTCTTTGCTCGCGTTTCTGACTTGCTTTTCGGCATCTGCCCATGCGGGTGCGTCACCCTCAATTGCGTACCTAATCACGGTCTCGTATTAGTTGAGGAACTCATATGAATCATAACAACTGGTTGCAGCTTCTTACTGGTCGAGCGGCAAAGAGTCAATCAGCTCCCTCTGCTTTTGCCTCAAAGCCTTTAGTGCCTCATCGCCGCCTTCTTCCAATTCATCATCAAGCGACGTGGTCAAAGGTACGAAGCGGTCATCAACAATCTCGTCGTCGTGGGCGCTGCTGGCATTTTCTCTGGTGACGCCCAGATTACTGGCCCTGGGCAGCTCGGCCTCGACCGAGCTTGAGACCAAGGTACCGAAATGCGACGTCACCTTGCGGAGGATTTTGATAAACATGGCCAAAAGCTGTGAAGAAGGCATGTTGTTTAGCTCCTGAGCAAGTGTCTCGGTATCCTTATGCTGCAGGCCTATACCCAGCAAAATGCACTGCTGGACACTGGATAAGCTGATGCTCTTTTTCAACCTCCCAGTGAAGTACAGTGTGGCGATTATGGGCATCATGTCCAGAATGACGTGGTAGTCAAGCATGTTGTTCGCATAAGACTCGAGACGCTTCAGATCGAATGGCGAGAACTGTCTGTCCAGATCAGCCTTGACCAAGGCTTCGGCTTGGATAGAGTCCAACTTGGCCCCCATATTGGCGGACTCGTCCAAGCTGAGCGCAATCTGGGTATCAAAGGTGCGGAAGTTATACGAGAGCAGTGATAGGAATCTTTTGTGGAAGTCTCTTGAGAAAGCTCCAAGCCAGCTTCGATCATTGCTGTTCTCAAGAGGTCGCAACATCACGCAAGTGTGCTCGCCAGTGAGGTCGTTGGCAGTCTGTCGCAGATACACGGGAGAAAACGAAGATCGTTTCCAGAATTTGTGGAGGGCTTTTGTCAAGCCGTAGCTGACACCAATGTAATCGAGGGCTTCAGGCCGCTTCTCACGGAGCTTGGCGAACAAGGGAGGCATCTGTGACTGATCCCGGACAGCAATTACCTCGGATTGCAGAGAGCTCTTGGCCAGTTCCGCATCGGTAGCCCTATGGATCTTCTCATCCATGATTTGGTCGTCGTCCTCCGAGATGCTGGCAAAGCGTCCCTCATAGTAGTCTACGAGGAGCTCCAATGCCTTTGTACCGTAGCCCTTGGAGACGTACTCGGGGTTCGTCGCAATACGAACGACGCGGGCTCCAGAGAGAGACGCAAAATCCTCGTCCTGGAACTGTTGGCTAACGAGCCAGGGAATCAAATCACCATGAGGACGTTGGCCTCGGCTCAAGCTGTTCAGCACACTCTGTCTACTAATCTTGCCTTCTAACGCTACCTGAATCACACACAATGGTTCAGGCAACTTTCCAGTGGATTCGACATTAGGGGGCACCAAGACAAAAAGCTCGTGTGCCGGAGCGTCACTCATCAGTTGTAAATCATCAGGTGAGTTTTTGTAGTGACTGGCAACATAGAGAGCAACCATTTGTTGCAAGAATGCCTCTGAGACTGGGTGAAAGGAGAAGAGAGTATCTCTGTTGACAACCAGAAGCTCACACAGATTGGGATCAGGGTAGCCTTGGATATTGGATTTCATCTTGGGTAGCGTGGCGTCGAGACATAGCAGCTTATTCAGCCATTTTTCGACAGAATCGCCCTTGGCATATCTGATAGGCTCGGCAAGAGTAATCTCACGAAGTTTTCTAGTGGTCTGGAAGTCCTCAGTCTTGGAAGCCTTGCCAGTAGAGCGGTCTGCAATCTCAGTCTCCCCATTAGTCGCAGCTCCAAGCCGAGACTGCTCTCTTAGTTGCTTGATGAGCTTCAACGACAAAGATCGACCAGTGCCTTCGTAACCATTAATAGTAGATGCCATAAACACCAAATAGGGTCCCATGAGCTTCTTCACCAGGGGCAAGGGAATAGCAGCCGCTTCGTCAATAACTACCAGCTCAGCCTGTCCGAGAACGTGAGCATCCTGGGGCCGAATATACTGAATAGTCTGCCGGTGTTGTCTGTGGATGTTGACACGAACGATGGCCTTGTTAAAATCAGGGTTTGTGGATTGGATGATCGAGTAGTCTGCGTGGTCCGCGTAGCCCAAGGCATCGAAACCTTTGAAGACAAATTCGAACAAGGTCTTCAGGTTCTCTGGCGAAGGAGACGTGATGAAAATATTACTGTAGCCGTAGGCAACAGCGGCAGCCACAG